AAGTTTTATAAATGGCTCCGAAACCACTATGAGGCATATTGCGCGTACGCGGAGTTTACCAATTTTATCGCACGCTACGAAAACGAAAACGACGTCGTTCCGCGACGTGCTCACTGCTCAATAAACGATATTGTGTTCATTTCACATCATAAGGGTCTTTAAACAGACCTTTTATAAATATTATTATCATTAACTTTTCCTAGGAAAAAAATATCCACCAAATAAATTTGGTATAACTATACAATATAACTACTCGACCCCCTACTTCCACTGACAGATCTAAGTGACATGTCGTTACATGACAGCTTTAGGGACTATGACTCTAGCCCCGCTCGATTTTTTACGGTATTTGGAATTTTCATTCTTACGAATCGTTTGCTCATTGCTCGTAATCGTCCATTATTAAATGTTCATTTAATGGATTTATCACTCAACAATCGGATCACCTTCTCCAAAGTGCTAGATTCAGTGGATCAAAGCAGAAAAGACAATTCAACTAATCAAATAATCTTAGCGGACGTTTATGATAACTTATATCCAAAAGACCGTAAAAATAAAAATAGGAATGGGGGGGAGGGGGGCAAATTTTCACGTGGCCACTTTGAGCATACCGCGCGCCATCTACGCAAAACGTCGAAAGCGGCGACAAACGGCACGTGTGAAAAGGTCCGAGTCAAGAGAGGTTGGTAGGATTAATGAAACTCGGCCGTTTCTGAGATCATGTTACACATAACAATATTGCGTACAGAACAAATAAATAATAAATATCAGTCTGTTACATTGATTGCTTACTTAACACATAGTAAACCATCGCCACCATTTTTAAGAATCGTCAAACGTTGACTTTGCTACACGACCTCTGTGCCGCGGCAAAAATAAACAATATAATTACGACGAACATAATTTACACATGTTTTCTTTATGAATTTATCTAGTACAACGAAAGTAGCGGTTCAAAAAATTTAATTTATTATAATGATCGAAAATCGTATTATTCAAATACTATTGATATTGCTTTTAATTTTAATTTTTCAAAGTGCAAGTTAACCGAATATATTATAATCCACAAATTGAACTAAATTCACATTTGGAATTAGAACTAAATTGAAACGAGACAGATTGATAATAATTAATATAATAAATGGTAGACTATTTACACAATATTGGCGTCGAGTTGAATCTATCAGCTGTATATATTTTACAGCCTTACGTTATTTACATTTTCCCCTCTAGAGAATTATATAGATGTATCACCAGTCTTAGGTATCGCCTCCGTTACAACGTAATATTAATATCTATCGTCATCAAGACGATTCCACGACCAAGACGAGTTCATGTAGACTCCTTATGCGTTTATAACCTACGTATTATAATTATTCACCGAGAAAGCGCACGAAGTTATATTCTAACAACAAATTCATAGTACACTAAGAATATACCACGCGGATTAAATATATTGTCTCCATCTTTTTACTGTAGGCAGTGTAGGTCATTCCATTGCAAATCACAGACCCCCCGATGTAAATACCGGTGTCGAATGAGTATGTCTAACACACCGCTGTTCCCAGTGTTTTTGGGTGAAATTAATAAAAAAAATAACCCACGAAACATTACGTCTGCGATAATTTGCACTGGAATGAAAGAAAACTATTTTTTTACGTTTTAAAAGTTGCTCGATCATAGAACTAGCAAAGCCAATGTGGCTGATTCAAGCCATTATATAGGCTGATTCAAGCCATTATACAGGCTGATTCAAACCATTATATAGGCTGATTCAAGCCATTATATAGGCTGATTCAAGCCATTATATAGGCTGATTCAAGCCATTATATAGGCTGATTCAAGCCATTATATACAGCAACTCTTGGTGAGTAGGGCTGAGCAATTCAGTCTGTATTGGCATTTGATCAATTACATGTACACGTTTCGATGTACGCGCCGCTAAACGTTTCGTAAAAGGCCCCGAATCGAACAACGGTCGCGATAATTACGGCATAATCATATAAGTCTTTAAGTGTGAATGGTACAAGAATCCGTCTGAGAGTATATTTAAAAAAAATGTAATGTTAATTGTAAAGTTGCATGTAATAAAAATCGGAAGAGGGTTGAAACTTCAAATAAACTTATGGCAAAAATGTAAGTAAGTCGCACGAAGACACCTAGGAATGAAGTTTAGCGAGTGTATACAATAAAATGACAATCGCATTGTCTTTTCACATATAGCAAATTACACGTCTTCGTCGTGTATAGACCTTTTTATTGGCAGAGATGGAAGATAGTTTAAATATATATATATGTATATGTTGGGAAATAGTGGTGTTCGTTTGAAGTAATTGACGCCAGTTAAAGTTATTATCAAATACTAAACATAATAACTTACGTCGAAAACATTTGATATTCGTTAATACTATTTATATACACGGGCTAGCGACCTATCACCATTTGTAAATAAATATATTCTTTAATAATACACTTCACATATAAGTAGGTGTTGGCTTGGTATTAAAGATTTTTTTTTTATTGTAACTTGAGAAATATTCATTATTACACACATATAGAGGAATCGCACGGCATCTTGAATGAAGCTCCTTTATATAACGTAACAATTCTAGTTCCGTCTTATTTAAAAAATACTTGGTGCATATCAGTTCCGTGTAGGCTGTACCTAAAACGCTATTTACTCTAAGAGGCAGTATTCGTAGAGGTCACTAAATATTACGTTGCAGTCTATATATTTGTTACCAACTACGTTTATAATACCATACTGAAATCGGGTACCTATATCTATTGTATTCCTGTCACTGTCCAAGGGGAAAAGGGAGGGAATCGAATGAAAAAAACCGACCCGCTAGTTAGTGGCTTACGTCCATTAGTCCATTATGTGTTGCTAAGCGGTATTATATATTTTATATCTATTAAATATTTCCGTTAATACTTATCGCTGGAAGTTACCGATATTGATATAATGTTCCTAGACTGAATTAACTCAGTGCACATTTGACTTTGCAAAACTGTTGCTGGGTGAAGAAATTAAGATATTATTAGGGATGTATTAAAGCCTTTTTGGGCACTCAATTGAAAACGAGGCAATTGCACAAGACTCACGATCTGTTGCAATCGCATTATCATATTGCGATATAGTAAAAACGTAGGGAACTCTTTTGTGTAGCTAAAAAATAATGTTGTAAAGAAGGGATCGAAATATCATAGAACACGTATAAGTGGAAAAGGTGAAGCATTATACGAACATAATTTAAACTCATTTGCAGAAAAATGGGCGGTTTGTACTGCACCCGTTTTATATTTGTATATGGAAATGTACATATCGTAATAAAACAATAAACTCTAATAGTAGTGAGCGATCATAATCTTTAGGCCAGTGGTAAAGGCCTTGGACTACCCTCTAAACATCACAATGAACGGGTTTTAAAAACCGCCGTAGTGAGGTAAAGAACAAACTTAACATTGGTACTTATTTATATTAATAAATCGGACTAATTTACCATGCTCAATAATTCACAAAATCTTGAAGATAGGGTGCTTATAATTATAAAATAATTGTATTTTTTTACGTCGGTGTCCTTTTTTGCAAACAGCATATAATGGACTTCAGGACGAAGAAAACTAACTATAAATAACCAGAGATAGTCATACATTTATGATAGTATCTCATCTTAAAAAAACCAATTGAAGGTTTAGACAATGCGCCAGTGAAAGTAACTGTAACGAAGCTTACATTTTAACTCTCAGTCTGTGATTCATGAGAAACATGAATTTAGATTAAGTTTATGTAACCTTAAATAAATCTATCGATTTAGTATTGTAAGCTCTCACCATAGGCCCAACATTAAATATGCATTAACAATTACAAACATCTAATGTATCGTTTCATAGACAATTCTGTAAAAATAACCGGTATATAATAAAAAAATAATACAAAATATGATTTCCTATTATCCTATTAGGACATTTTTAAACCGTTTCTAGACCACTTCCTAATAGCCTAGCCTAGCTATAACAAAATGCGTTCTGTTGGCTTGGAACTGGCGATCTACAATCGAGAGCGACCGTCCCACCTACTTACAATAAATATTCCACATTATTAAACAAAAATATTATCATAAAAAAAAAACATTATCAATTCATGGGGAGAAATTGACGCGATCCGTGATATATTAAATTGAAAAGAAAAATCAATTCAGAATATTGTCGACAAGAATCGAATAATAAATATCGACGCCGTGCTTTTTCGATGAGAAGATAATACAACAATCGCTATCGCGGATGCGCCATTTCAAACATAGACAATTTAATACATTAATAATAATTTGATAGTAACACTAATAAATCTCGTTAACCAGCCAGCCGGTCGGAGTCAGCGCCGTATTAACAATGAGTATCACAATTAACCAAACACCATGTACGTGCGAAAAATAACTTACAGTGGAGCGAGATCAAAGCTAAACGCTTGGGCGGCGGAACAAAGATACAACAATACAAAGAGGGATTTGGCGAAATCGAAATTTAACTAATAATTAATAAAAAGAACTGATAGACACGGGAAAAGTACTTTTAATTATTTGTTTAATCTTGATTGCGACGCCACAGTCCTCTGATTGTGAACAAAGCCCAATATTTATTTGTCAATAAAACGTCATAGGATACGTAAATCACACGGGGCAGACTGATTTGTAACGAGTGAGACACTGTATGCGTAGCTCCCTCAAGTTGTATCTTTCGTCTCTCTCACGTAACGAGACGTGACGCGGCCGCGCACAAAGGTTCCACCTTCAAAAGAGAACAAATTTGGAAAACAACTACACAGGCCAAGAGCGGATCGGCGGTCGATTTCAAGTTTCCACGATCAAAAACAGTTGGGCCGGCAAATCGCCACCGGTATTTCCTTCACGTGTATGGCGTTTGGCGAAACGGGCACCCGACACGTTGGCTCGTCAGCACCAATCCGAGAGAGTTTATTGCACACAATCGAGCGGCGTCTAGTCGCTCTTGAACTCAGTGTCGATACGGCGCTCGAGCGCTTGCAGCTCCTCCTCAAGTTCCTTCTGGAAGCCAAGCAGACACGATTCATCGCTAACGGCAATTTTAGGGGCCACGCCGTCGGCGGGTAGCACCGTCTCTGTGGTATCCGAACGCACGTCATAAAAATTTCCCTCCGGCGTTGAGATTTTCCGCGGAACACACTCGTCGGCGACATATTCTGCTTAGTCAAAGCAACGGACGGAGATACACGCGACGTCACAGTGGGAACGGGCGGCGGTGGCTGGAAGATGTTACGGCACGAGGCGATGAGAAATTACCACGATACGGCCCACCGTATCATTGAACACGTGCATTTCGTTTTTATCTACATTTGTGACCTTCACGATCGCTGTATTTTCGTCAGCCTTTAAGAAAGACAGCAACGGTACGAGCGCCGAAAAGAAATGCAGGTTCCTCCCTGATCGGGCTGACCAAATATACTGCTGCGTGGCCCCACCGTAACGGAAGGCAACGGGAGATATGAACGTTCCCGAGTGAAAACCCACAATGTGCAATGTAAGTAGGATATGCGCCTTTTCAAAGTCAAAATCCACACCGCCCAACACAAAAACCACCACCGCTAAGCCAGGACCGACAAGAAACTCTGCGGTCTTGTTATCTTTTCTTTTTGCATTAGGTATATGGGTATACAAAAGTGTTTAAGTATAAATTTGGCAGCAGCCAGGGGAACTGCGGAGTCAATTCCAGTCATTTCCACACATCTGTTTTTACTCCTCGGATATACACATGACGTCATCCCTCAGAGCGAACATTTGTGTGAATTGTATAATTTAGGATTATTAGTCACATTCGCAGTCGCACACACCAAGAGTAGGCTACGGTTAGTGGGTTTTATGTTCCTGGAGCTAAGTCCGTCACCACCGCACCGTCACCACCTGGTGATCTTGTATTAACTGATGTTTTTGCATTCAGTCCCGAGACTATTAAAGCTTCATCTGACGCAAAACCGGTGGGCTAGCCGGAACCCACGGGCTTGGGCCCTCCGCTGTGGGTAGGGCCGCGCATGTGCTCATGCGTGCGTTTAACTATGACCACCTGGTGAGGACGTCGGCGGGAAGTAGGAGAAAACTGAACATGTTTTAATACGAGGCCCGGGTTCCCTTGGCGTTAGGGGGGGGTTAATTGGTGCAGACAAGCAAACGACAACTCAACGGGACATGGGTTAGTTGCGTATACGTGTAGCTTGTGATAATACATACATCGCAGGATAGCACTTACATCGTCCGCCATGTTGGCAAACTCTGTAACGGATTGGTTCCTCGACACGAGATTGTCGGCGGCGGCGGCGAGCTGGTCGCCATTGCCGGCGAACATCTGGAAACGGCACATAGCGATACGTACAGCCGCCGTGTTTTTATCCGAACTAGCTTTATAGGGCATCAGCTGATATTCAAAGTGTGAACAAAACGACAACCTGGTACGCTACATCTTTTTTGATAGCAGCTAATTAATATTTCTCTATCAGCTAATTAATAATTCTCTGTCAGCTAATTATTAATTATTTGTCAGCTAATTAACAATTCTCTATCACATTATTAATAATTCTCCTGACATTATGACACTTCCTTTTAATGCTCTTTGCGAACAGAAGTGTCCCGGTAAGGATATTGCCCTCATAGAAGCTGCGTGTTCTTTTGGTCTGGGAAGATGGCAAGCTAGCTGGCGGTTCACCTGATGTTAAGCGAGTTCACGCCGGCCTTCTGTGAGGTCGTGGTGCTAGCCCGGACGGACCTGCCCATTCGTGCAACAGCGAACACTGTTGCGTGGCCGGGCGTTAGTAATCACTTGAGAAGCTTGTAAACAACTAGTCGCTTGAATATTTTTTTTGATAAGCAAATGAATTCTTCCTAGCTATACAAACTTTACTAATTCCCATATGAAGTGTTCTATTGTACACGTCCAAAGAGCCAAACTAAATTCTCAGCAAGTTAATTGCCACATACAGTCGAGCGAACGGTGTTTTATTATCAGAATATAGTGAATTGTCACTTTATTATAGTGTCAAAAACAGAAAACTGGTGGACTAAAATGTAAAGAAAATCGCTTCCTAAGGTCAGCAGCTCAGCAGTGGGACGTATGACGTCTTTACTAGCTACCTCTGCACGTTGAGCTTTTGGGCCTTAACTTAGCCTAAACTTACTTAACTTACACATAACTTCTCATTCATTCATTCATTCTCTCGAGGGTTGTTTGCATGTCGCATGGATATGTATGCGTCATCTGTATTTAAATATCATTCTTATCTCCTCCATACTGTCCAGTAACGGACGCGATATGTGTAATGTTCTCATTCATCCCCCAAACGAAATGTAATATTATACTCAAACGCACAAGAGTATACCTACACAGCAGCAGAAGGTGAGAACTTAACTTTCGAAACGATAGAAAATATCGTCTTCTGAACTTACATCGTCGGCCGAAATGTTGAGGAGAACGTTACGCACTTCGTCGAAATTAAACACCTGGAAAGAAAAGTGTTTCTTCAATAGCGTTATTTCATGAGGCGATGGCAACTGAGCAAGGCGATTGAAAACCGTAGCAAATAACGCTCACAGATAGCACTAATGCTGTGGAAGCATTGCCAACCAACTGCAGCATCGTAATATATACAGAATATGAAACCAAAAAGTATGATTATGTTTCACTTATGAATTATATGTAATAAGTTGCCAAGCGAGCACCTGCGCATTTTTATAATGTGGAAAAGTGGCAAACGAGCTGGCGGTTCACCTGATGTTAATTGATAGCCGCCGTCCACGGACACCTGTTACACCGGAGGATTCCGGGTGCTTTGACTTTTGAAAATTGGGCTCCGGCCACCTCACTCACCAGACGAAACGCGAAAGTATTATACTTGCACTTTACGCCGGTCTTCTGTGAGGTCGTGGTATTCACCCGGACGGGCCTGCCCATTCGTGCAACAGCCGAGGCCGCTGCGTGACTCTACCACCGTGTGCGTTATCTAATGAGGAAAGCCATCAACGGGCCATCGAGGTACAATACGGCAGTGCCTCATGGCCGTCTGCAGATGTACCTTGTGTACGCGTGATGATGGTAGTTTATCCACGCTCATAGGCGAGGAAGATATATTTGGTATTGTGTGTTAACACTATGTTTTGCACGAAGGAAATTGCTATGAACAGATTTTTCGTTCCTCCTGTGCGTAGCCGGGGTGGGTCGATGGTACAAGAAAAAGATTTCGGTCAGCTTTCGACTTACGTTGTTATCCGACGACCAAGATGTGTCCACTGGAGGCTCCCTCACTTCCAGGCCAAAGCTGAACGGACTCATTTGATAGTCCGAAAGCACCTTGGTCTGTCCTGGAAGCGGCAATATCATTATGATATAATAATGATTGTTCCAAATACAATTTCTCGCTATAATATTGGAAGAATATTTGATGAGGTATACAGTAAATAAAGGACTACGAGAGGGATCTTCGTCAGATATGTTTGTACTTATAATATACAGGATGTTCGATTATGGACAAACCTGGGGAGTCTAACAATTCAGCTATCAGGCGCTTCAAAAAATCTACAAACAAAATCCAATGGTACAGGGTTATGTATAAAGGTGATCAAGAATATTACTCAGGCTAGAATATTCCTTCCTCACCCTGGTGATATAGTTTTGGCTTTTTATGACGATGGCCTTAAAACAGTCTGAGAACGATGCTCGTTTAATTGTAGAGCGAATATTATTTTATTTAAAAAAACACTTCCCTTTCTTTAAGACATAACACTACTCTGATATTCGTCACAAGTATCGGTGTCTCAAACAAATATTCACGTGTGGGAATCGAGCCCACGACCACCGGCTCCAATACCGATACCTTGGCAGCGGCGCCACGGAGTCAGCCAATCCATCGATGCCTCATCGTTGGGTGTTACGGCATCTGAATGTGTATGCCAGACGTCGGTAGGAGTTTTTTTGATGGTTCAATCACTATTGGCATTTAGGTGGTCGGGCGTTGAGGGCTCTTTTTTGTGTGAGAATCGAGCTGGCAGCTCAGCTGATGTTATGCGATAACCGCCGCACATGAACCTTTTAACGACCTGGCTATCTCACTCACCAGACGAAACGCAGAAGTATAACATTTCCACTTCCACCTCGGTCTTCTGTGAGGTCGCGGTGCTTCTCCGGACGGGCCTGACCAACAGCGAACTGCTGAGAGATCCTTACACAGAGGGCTTGAATCTAGCTTATAAGTGACCAAGTTCGAGGGGTCCCTCTGGGTCCTCTGCACGGGCCGTCACTGTTATAGTTGGTTGGGAGGCCACTTTGACGGGCGCTCCATTGGCCGAGGGGACAAGCGAACAGCTGGGCAGGGGCTCACTGTCTTCGAAGCCGTAGGGGCTGGTCTTGGGCGGCTCCGGGCGCGGTGAGAACACGCCGGCGCGCGGCGGCAACGCCCCCCGCGGCTGGTACGGCACCGCGGGCGGGTAGAGCGGGTAGCTCACACCGATCGGCAGGCACCCCTGGTAGAACACCGGCCGCTCGGGCACGGGCAGCAGCACCCCGTTGTGCGGCACCCCCAGCGCCACCTGGCCCCTCGCCCCGTAGCCGCCGGCCGCCGAGCTCCCGTGGCTGTTCCTTCGTCGCGGACGTGGATTTTTTTTTTATTAAGGAACATCGGTGAGAGCGGATTCTCAGGATGCGCGACAACTAAATGTAGCTCCAACATCGCGGTGTCACAATGGCGAACAGTAACAACTTTTGACATTTTACCTATGGTTCCTAATTATTTGAACCGTTATTGCATTAGATTTCTCTATTTTCACATGCAAAGTGTACTGGCACAAGGGAGTTTAGTTATTTTTCTATTGTTAAGCCAAAGAATTAGAATTTCTTACGTGCAATAAATACGCAGACGTTTTTTTTTTGTGTGAAGTTTTGCCAAGCGAGAGGGCGATCCCCTGATGTTAAATGAATAGCACTGCCCGTGCTTTTCACGTGCACCTTTTAAAAAAGGGGGCGGCCCGGTTACCTCTCTCTACAGACAAAACGTCCTGTGAGGGCGTGGTACTTCCCCGGACGAGCCTGCCCATTCGTGCAAAGCAGAGGCTTTGAGAAAAATTGACGTAGAGGAGCATAGGCAGTAGTGATCACTTAGCATCAGATGAGAAACCTAAGCGCTTGTTACCTTCTCATTCTCAAGTATACAAAAAATAGCTCTAAAAGATATTTCATTCTGAACATTTTGAGCTTTTGAGACATTATTGGTGTATAAAGCATCACCAAAGGGAGATTCATCGACTAGTTTATTGTAGCCGTCTATGTTGTCTCATGTTTTGAATTTCATGTTGTTGTGCACTTCGTAAGATTTCACTCTCATAATTTTGTCTATAAAAAGCTAAAATAGGTAAAAATTCAAAAGCTTTTCAACTTTGTGCTTATGGTTTTGGTCGAGCTTTTGCTCTTTTATTTGCCACCACATGGTAGAATGGCGTAACAGTCTAAACATTCCGTATTGCTACACAAAGTATAGTTGGTAAAGACGATGTGTTCGGTTGAGAAGCGTCATTATCAATCCGAATTTGGCGATATGGCCGGTCCACTGAGCGAATCACAAATTATTAAAAGCCAAACTCACATGGACGGATTGACTTCGGGCCGATGGTTATCAGAGTACTCGGAGTTGGGGACCATTTCTGGACGAATTTGTGGGGCAGCCATCTGTGGGCCGGCTGAAAATACGAATGAATTTGCTTTAGTATTTCGGTGTGTAAACAAATTAGCTAATGCGACACCTTGGCCCCGTGGTTAGCAATGTAACTATTCTAACGCCCCGCAATGTAATTCTAACGCCCGGTTTCTAAAACACTGATCATCGTAGATGTCAACTAACCAGCTGTCAAATGGATTTGAAAAAATCTTATTAGAGTTGCCAAAAGGATTGTTAAACTAAAAGGAGGTTGTGACCTCTGCTCGTCTATAATCTTTTTCTCTTTTCTCTTTTAATTTAAAATCATTGCCCTTACTTTAGGATAACATTATCATGTGTTATAAGGACGTTTTACAAACATAAATTTCACTTGGTTCTATGGGTCACACAAACAGTTGTCGCGAGTGGGGATCGAACCCACGACACCGAAGCCAATACCTTGGCAACCGAGCCACGGAGTCGTCACTACTTTAAACAAATATAGACAGAGATAAATCCTTCAAACCTTTTATTGCATTCCCGTATATGAGGAACAGAATCCGATTAATTCCTAATGTGGTTGGGCGGTCGCTGTTCCGCCGTCCGGATATGCACCATAAGTAGAATATCGGCGTGAATTGGAAGTGTTATACTTCAGCGTTTCGTCAAATGAGTGAGGTAACCGCGGCCCACTTCATTAAACGGCGGCAGCACATCTTCCATCATACGGGTGTTGCAACTGTCCATGTCCACTTAACATCAGGTGAACCGCCAGCTCGATTCAATAAATTTTACATTTTAAAAAAAAAAACAGAATACAGCTGAAAACGCGGGCACGGTATCCAGAGTCTCTAAGATCGCGTCCGAAGCGCATCTCTCTTCTTCTCTACCAATCTTACGGCGGCGGTTTACGCGCCATACGGTGGTCATGTCCAGTATTGAGGGAGAAAAAAAAGCACTCACGCGGTGCGCTGTAATTGTCCACGAGGATTTGCGGGTGCTGGAGCACCGGGGCCACCGGGTACTGGTAGAGCGGCTGGGCCAACGCCACCTGGGGAACGCCGCCCATCTGCGGCACGTACGCGTAGTTTCCGTTCGTCGTGGACATGCTGTTTGCCATGTTGTTGGCCAAATTATTGGCCAAACTATTTGTCACGTTGTTAGCCATGCTGCGCGACCTGAAATCGATCGTTGGCCCAATGTAACATGGCGGGCGAGAGCCACCTATTTTCCTACCAGCGTCATCAGGTGTGCACGGTCACCAGCGAATGACAGAGCGTTTCGTCCATGCAAGTGGTGTACATTTTTTTTTGGCCGCACTCGAAAACTTAAATGGGGCTAAACGAAATAGAAAGAACGTAGATAGATGTCGAGAGGTTATCGGCTTAGTTCTTAAAGCGTTTGGGCGCGGAACCAGACGCGGGTTCGAATCCCGCAGCGCAAAAAACTTTTTTGTTCATTTAGATTTAGAGTTTCATCTTGTGCGCAGCGACTAGCACTAAAAATAAACTTTAATCCTAAAAAATACAAGAGCTAATTGTATTTATTCGTCATGTCTCATTTGTGTTCAAATTCTTTGGGTGCGGCCGGTAGCATTGTTTAAACATGCCCTTATAAAAGTATGTAAGCCTTAACGCATTATCTTATAATGGTTTTTACAGACAATCTTTCTAAAACATTTTGCAAGAGAGACTGTATAAATCACATTTATATAACACCACGATATTGTCTGCAATCGATAAATTACAATTATGTTTAACAAAGGAGGGGACATTTAACTTTGTCCTTCAAATAAATGGGCTCGTTACGATCCGGAAAGTTTATCATAAGTTACATTGTATGATACGACGACATTATTCCGCGAAACAAAGGGCGTAAATGGAATAATTATTATGCTCACGTAAGACTGACAGGTTCAAAAATAGAAGCTTTTCATTTAACCACAAAGAAATCCGGCGTGAAGTAGAATTGTTCTACTTCTGCGTCTCTGCTGGTGAGTGGGGTGGCCGGGGCCCCACTTTATTGAAAGGTGGTAACGCATCTGCAACCCCACGGGTGTTGCAAATGGCAATGGGCGACGGTTATCACTTATCTGGTGAACGGTCAGCTCGTTTGGCACATTTTCATATAAAAAAAAAGTTTTCAAGTGGAACGGAGATTGAATGTTACACGTATTTAGTTGTTCTATTATATTTAGGCGAGATTATTTTAATGATTTCCTATTCTTTTTTGTTAATATAGACCTAACTATGATTGTTATCTGTCCGTGTTTATGATTTTAAAATGATTCGGTTTCGATTCCCACAAGAGACAAGTATATGAGCGACCCATACATATAATTTCCAGACAAGAGGATGATTAAGATACATAATTATTAAAATTAATACCGTAATAATTTCGTAATGAATATTTTAATATTACTGAAGGGTAGCCGTTTAAATAAGCTCATAATTTTTTATTAATTTAAAACACGTTAATAAATTATGTACGTTACTATAGTAATTATATTATTAGCAGAATAATATACTAATTATTGAGATATCTTAAATACAATATTAATAATTACATATGATGTATAGGATGTAATTATATATTATAAAAAAAACAAAACAAAGCAAAAACCTGCGCCTGCGCTATGTTTCAGCAAATCAAAACGACATGAATAAGTTCTCAAAAGCAAGCAAAAGTTTTCAGTCAAAAACATAATCGCATCTCGCATTGCTAGTTCGTACATAAAGTAAAATGGGTAATCATATTTATTATTTCTCAAAGGTGTTCCTTTGTGGCAACGCGATTTTTAAGTCAAAACTTGTTATAAATCATGATGGTAATCTATTGCCATCTATTGGTAAGTTACTTAAATGTTGTGTAAAATATATTGCAATAAAATATTTACTACTCAAGATAAAATTCCTTTCAATTATTAATTAATATTTCCACAACATTATATTATTCGCTAACTGTTCAGGTCATATATTTTCGCATTTACTAAACATGCAACATATAAACGAATATAGGTACATAGAGCGACATTATACAGGGAGATTTTATAGGAAGTGCCCAAATTTACACAGGAGGTTCAGACTCGGTAGTATAATCGTTTATTGAAATAAAAAATAAAGTTTTTTTTTCCAAAAAAAAAAAAAATGCCATTCTATTCCATAAAAAACAGAACGTGTTCACAATGCGGTAGTCGATCATAAATACATAAATTTTACTGTGCATGAACTTTTGTGCGTGTTAGTTATGAATGATCGCGCGTAAAATAAATGAGTTGCGAATAAATCACGCACTTTTGGAGATAAGTTCAAATGAATGTAATTAATTACTTACCGAGTGATTTTAAAGATTTATCATTTTTATATAACATTATTTATGTCTAGAATTTAATTAAAAAATGGATACACTTAGAAAAGCCACCCTGTATTTTGTAACTTTAATAATAGCATCACTATAACTATATAGCTAATAAGCAAGTAAAAGTCCGTGTTTCTTTTCGTCCTTCAAATCAGTCAATCATGTATCATTCACACTGGCATAGGTAAACTGCGATAGTATGAACGCGACGGTAGACGAAAAAAAATATCTAAAGACATGACGGTGCAGCGCTGTGCGCATGTGGCGTTTAAACTTTAAATTTGAAATTCGACACACATGTACATAATAAAGGTGTGTTATAAATAAACGAAAATATTTTTACTATATGCATCATTACTATGGTCCTATAACATAATTAAAAAAAATATCCGTCTACATTTTTATCACTGATAGGTGACAGCCACAATGGATGTCACAGAAACATGAGTACGTAATTTGTATTTGTATCACGTATACATATAGTCTTTCTGCACTAGATCTGAAATCGAACACAAATCCCACTTGCGCGCAATGTGATTAAAACGCCTAAAATTTCTTTTTTTTTAACGTATCTATACAATGAAGAAAACTCATAAGATCGATAAGAACATTCTATCCACGGCCCCAAAACTATAATCGATTATTTTCAATTAAATATGTGAATTGTTCTGCAATTAAGAACGTCGCAATTCTTATAATTAAATTCCGCAATCATAATGAACTGACTTTCAGTGAACGCGTCAGATTTTTTCAATTCAAAACACATAATTAGAGATTTAAAATATGTAAGGTATTTAAAACCAAAGATGGGGGTAAAGCGTTTCACTTATTTTGTGAAAGATAACTTTATAATATCGCATTAGAATATTAAGTGAACTATTTAACAGATTTTATCTAGTTTCAATTTTGATTTTTCAGACTGTCGCGTGACCATGACCACTCGAAAGGAGATACGGTAAAATCAGTAAAATAGTTTCTTTCAATGTGTATTATTCGCGTAAAAGATATTCGCTGCAAAGCAAGAAAAAGTTCTGACATTTCATACATCTTATTCGTACTTCGCAATGGCCACGTGCGCGCGTAAAGGTAGCATATAATATATAGATACGCCATATGTAACAAAATGTTTTGATACGTAGATGTGGTTACAAGTGTAGGGAAGTCGATATTAAATCAACCCATTAGCTGACGCAAAAGCAAAATCGAAATTTACACATTATCAAAACAATAATATCTCACCTCTCTCTCTCATACTCTTCGTCGAAGTGTAAAAGCGTGCAGTCACTGCCCTTGGGACAGAAGGCCCTCATAGCAGACTCTCGACACATCGGCATGTTGCGTTTGAAATGAGTCGGTGAGGGCTGTAACGTTTGACCTGTCGACGGAGTGACCACAGACAATAATGAAGATCCAGTAGTTGTATTAGACAAAAATCTATAAATGTTGTGAAACAAAGTGACAATAGTTGTCGATGGATACCAATATACCGAACTGAACCGGTCTTACGCGTGAATGCAGACGTTTGTGACAATAATTGATGCAAATATTCAGCGCTTTGTTACGGACTAATTTTGCGATTTGTGGAAAGCCGTACAGCCCCAAATGGCTTTAATTTTCCATGAATAATTTTATACATTTATAACTCAAACTCATTTTTACACAATACAATAGGTTTTTTCGTTTTAAGTATTTTTGTTTTTTTTTTGTTAAGAATTTTCTTTGTTTTAAAAACAAAAAAATTTTTGCATAAACTCGCAATGACAAAAGATCGTGTTTGTAGAAAATAGGTAGACCAATTTATATGGATTCTTTTATTTGGAATATAGGTACTAATCAAAACTTTCTGTATGGTGAACATCAAAATTAACGTCTGATAATTTTATATAAATAAAAAAACTTCATCAAATTAAGACATTTCTACAATATAGAATGAAGGGGGGGGGGGGGGGGGGGGGTTTGAATCACAATAAATAAAAGAAAAATCTACCTGTCTCCGCAATATTTTTAACACTATTATGTCACAGTTGAATAAATACTATGATAATTGAATTCTCCGAGTGCGACGTTTTTATAACGTTAATTATTTCAACTCATATGCTTTGTGACGTGTGTTTACAACTTAAGAGCCGTAGGGCCTGTTGCTCCCGTGTTGCACGAAGGGGCAGGCCCGTCCAGGTAAGCACCGCGGCCGAACAGAGGACAGGCGTGAGGCGTTTTGATTTCTGCTTGCTCAAGAGCAACGAAATAAAATAAAACCTAGCTATTCTGTTCGTTCCGATAGTTAAAACTGTAACTGATGCTAGTAAAATATTTTTTTTCCATAAAGAATAGGGAAGACTCACTTGTTGACGGTTCCGAACAACGATCTTGAAGTATATGCCTTTGGTTGTGGTTAGAATCGCGCCCTTGTTGTTGCAGATAATGTATAAGGCCAGACACAACTTCCTTGATGGACATTATCATTTCAGCCAGCTGCTGCCACGACGGGCTCTTCGCATCTGTGGAATAGAATTCACGAGTAAGCTTTTGCAAAAGTTTCCCATTCACGAAAACATTTTGACGATATAAAAAAAAGGGGAGTAACATTTCAACTGTAGTTTGTAACATAATACTTCTTCGTACAGTGATGAGCAATAGCGATAGATAGTTCAGTGATATGGAACTTGAAATACCTGGACTTGCGTCGATGCTTGCAAGACGATCCAAATGCATACTCATGACAACAAGTTGGGCCGGGTCTCCGGTCCTTTGCAGTGCTATGAACAACTCCTGAACAGACTGCGCAAACGATTGTGGGGTCTGCAGTTTGTCAATTATACTCTGCATGTGGCTCTTATGCGCCGTGTCGCCATATAAAAGGGCGCTCCACTGGTCCGGGGCGATCCTCAGGCCCGCTTCGGTGGCTATTTGGACGATCTGTGCATCATGTTCCCGACGCAATGAATCGTAAGTACGGAACTCCTCCTTCAATTGCATCAAGGACGAGTCGCACTCCCGTTTTGAGACCTAACAATTAACGGGAGAGAGTTACGTATATGTCCTATATCTTTTTGTTTTGACAAATAAATAATAAAAGACACAAGTACGTAAGAAACATTTCTGACCTTAAAACAGGACGCCCTGTATAGAAGTTGCACAACGTGGCCTATACTAGTTTTGGAAGCCTGTGGAAAATGAGGCTCTAATCTTTGGACTACAAACATCACTAAAACCTGCAAACGAAACGAAAAAAATGAAAAACACAAAATTAAAGTTGTGACCAAAGCAAAACATATTAACTTATAAATATGGCACAGGTACCTTTCTTGATAAAGCTGATCCATCTTCTAGAGCTAATAACACTAATTTAAGAACTTCCTCTTGCATTGCTGGACCAAGAAACTGACAGCCTCTCGCTCTAACAGCAGCCCATAAATTTGCACTTAATTGTTGGGGATTCTGAAAACATGCAATGAATTTAATAGTAATGATTATAAAGATCCATAGAACACATTTTTTTAGTTATTTGGTAATTGATTTGCATACTTGCAGAGTGCGCGCGCGCATCGTGTAAGGGAACGTTATATACTTGTATATTATTTAATGTATAAAATACAAAAGGAATTCGAAATATAATACAAAACTATTCAACTATTTTAAAGTTAAATAGAACATATAAATAATAATCAAATTAATTGAGTTTAGTGTCTTAATTCCTCAATCGTAAGTAATCGCGTATGGTATCGTATTATAGTAAGATATGCAGTTTTTAATAAGTGCGCAAATACGCGGGCGACCCGCATGGATCAGTAGGGATGTCGAAAGTGAAGAAATATATATATTCATAAAAATATCAACATCCAAAAGCCCCATGTCCAAAAAAAGTTAAATATTTGACGTCTAAGGACTCTACGCGGGATTCGAACTTGAAAAAATATCGTTTTTGATACGATTTCGATGTTGAATATTTTGTATCGATACCCGATCCAAATATATCGATATTTTTTCGACATCCCAATGGCTTAGTCGCCTCGAAGCTCCACTGCGCGCTGTTTAGCGCTTGTCTTGCGTTTTAGCGGGCAAGCGTGAACCGGCCGATCATAGCTTCAGATTTCTTAAAGTCGGCGCAGTAGCCTGTTATTCAAATTATTTTCTACATAAATTTCTTTTTTAAGGACCAAAGGTTGATTTCCCTATATAGGGTAAGTTTTTAATGGCACGTGAGTCACAGAAGACAGAAAATATAATTGCTAATTACATCATATTTATCTTTACTTTACCTATCCACCATATCGATTTGAAACAATTTAATATTTCTTTAAAGCTTACAGTTTCCGTTAATAATTACATCAATAGAATTTTGTATATCTCTATACATAAAAATGAATCGCTTAATGTGTTGCTAAGCGCAAATCTTGAGAACAGCTGAACCGATTTCGCTAATTCTTTTTTTATAATATTCCTTGAAGTACGAGGATGGTTCTTACGGAGAGAAAAATTTAAATAATTGCCTGAAAAAGTTTAAAAACAATACTTTTCTACATTCCCACGCAAAAGATTCGTAATAATACATAAAAGTTAATTTGAATTTTAATACAATACCATAAAGTTTAAGTGCTAGTGGAGGGGTTCCGGGAAGGCGGAGTATCATATAAATGTTGATGTAAATATTTATCAATATTTATACGATGGAGCGATTAGTGCGAAGCCGGGGCGGATCGCTAGTTGTAGTATATATTTGTTTGCTTTCACTTTACCACGTAGATGACATTCTTTTAAACATCTGTTAGCTTGCAGCATATTTATCTTATTCCATTTCATGAATTGTGAACTACGTTCTGACTGTACCTACCCGCCTCGAGGCAATACTACGCATGTACTATATCTATCAACTATCGTAACTACCGTAACTACGTGCGCTAGTGCCGACATGCCTGCGAGTCTACTACCGTCTATCCCATCACACCGAGGTCACCGACATCTATAGCCCGTCTACGTCAGGGGAGTAGAGAGCGGAAGCGTAGACAAAAGAACCCTTAGCTCCACAACCTACTTACCGACCTTACTTAATGTAGCCTTGTCATGAATATAGTTTGTAACGGCCGCATTAGTTTCATTTACCGCCTTAGGTGGGCTATGAACACAGTATTTTTTTATCGGCACAACCGTAAACATTGTACTCCCATATTTTTTCAAACGTGCCAAAAGAGGTGTAATTTAAAAAAAAAACTCACTTGATGTTGCAAAATAAGTTCAGTCACAGTTCTCTCGCCAAGGGACCTAGCCGCTCGCGCTGCCCGCCCCCTCCCCTCATCGTCAGTCATTGCACATTGTAGTAATGTCACCAATTTACGTTGCATCGGCCTGGACAGCCTACCGCCTGTTAAGCTAGTACTTCCTAAAACGAAATTGTGAATTCGTTAGTAGGTTTTTGTAAAAAAATTTCTCAAAAGCAATCCTTGTTTTGCTCCTCTCGACAGTCGTGCAACAAAATATTTGTTAGTTGAAATACTAATTTCTGATTTGTAACGTGTTGAAGTAGCAAAATTACAATAAAAAAGTTTCAATGATTTGTAGGTCCATGTGCTGCAATTTCTGCAAGCTGGAATTGGCAGAAACCATGGTTGTCGACACTCTAACGCCCATTATAAATATACTGATGCTATGGAGCGACTATTTAAAAAAAAAATGTTGAAAGTTAAGCACTCACCACTACCACAAAGTTTCAGATAAATGGCGAGGTGTTCAAGGCAACGCACAATGGCATCGTATGCCTGCCGGTCGTTTTCTGGAAGAGCTTTAATGCATGGGGGATGGAACGGCTGGGCTGGAGGTGCGTATCCAGCCAACTGTAATAGGGCGGTGTTCACCACTAGTTCTTCTGGTTCTGATTGAATTACTGTCTAAATGAAAAAAAAAATGATATTCAAATACATGAAATGCTTATTGTTGTTAAAAAATCATATATTAAACAGTATTCATATATTAAATTAAGTACATTATTACACGTGTCAACCTTTAGGTATTTGAAATTTTATACAAGTATTATCTTATCTTGTTTAATATTGAACTTATACTTATTTTGGCGCCTTCGGAAAGAAATATGATAGTAAAATTTTTACGATGACACTGTCCCCCAAAAAGCGGCATGATGAATCAGTGATTGACGGCACGGCACTAGTACTACTAGTATCACTGCACGGAATTACCATGGCAACCAATGACAACTTTTTGACAAATGTCAAAAAGTAGGTACCAATAATTACAAGTTATTTAAATAAGCCGTTATCAATTGCATTTATTGTCTTTACGCTAAAGAAGTATAACTTCTTACGTGCGAACGTAGATACTATTTTTTATTAAATAGAAACAAACAAAAATGATTGGAATACCTGGTCGAAAGGACATTGTTTCCTGTGTAAATTTTTGAGACAATGTCTGCAAAGTGTATGGCCGCATCCTAAGCTAATGGGGCTCCGGGGAGGAGGGCCAAACTCTCGGCAGCACACTGGACAGTTGAGGAAGTCCGTCCATTGCGGCGCCTGGATTGGCATTCTGATAAGGAAAACAATTTAACTTTATAATAACTACCTAAATTGAATTATTATTTAGTAGAGAAATGTCACAAATATTCTGGCACCTCCCTCAAATAATAAGATTAATAATTAAGTTTTTTTTTAAGGATTGATCGAAGTTTTGATTGCATTTTTTTTTTCAAAAAATACTTGCTATTAAAAATAGCGGCCTGTCCAGAAGTGCATTTTTTTATGTGAAAAGTTGCCAAACGAGCAGACGGTTCACCTGATGTTAAGTGAATACCGCCGCCCACGGACATCTGTTACACCCGAGGGTTCCAGATGCGTTGACAACCTTTTGAAAATTGGGCTCCGGCCGTCTAAACATCACTAATAGAATCGGCATTAAATATCACAACTAGAATCGAAGGCAAATGTCTTCCGCCTTAGCTGCGGTTTTTGACCTCTCGTTGAAGGTGACGGAACAGAAGAGCCTGACGGGTCTTGCGTCAATCCTATGTGATCGAATACACGAGTGGCTGAGTTTTTCTCACGCCATAGTCTCCTGAGGTTCCTCCGGCAGTTCGAAGCTACAATCGTTCACTACGACGATTGGATCGGAACAGTGTTCGACGACTATTTGGATGTGTGACGGCCTTGAGGGACACTGTCCTATCGGGTATTTCCCACCCGTGCTCCCTAACCTAACTTTTTTCTGTCTGTCATGGTTATAAGAACCGTAGCGCCTGGCCGGCCTAATACTAAAGTGTGGAAGCTAAAAAATTTTGTTCAAGTATTCCCAAAACAAACATTTCCGAAAGTATTTTAATAAACATTTGGACACATGTCTGGGGCTGACTTTAGTGCCTATTTAAAGTAACATTTATGATGTTTATGGAAAATGTAAAAGCATTTGGCAAGTTCAGTAAATGGCGAAGTTGAATTTGAAAATAAACAAAATTTAAATAATAAAAATAAATTGCTTGTGAATTATCAAGAAGCACAATTCGGTGGTCACCTATTGCTATTTTGTTTTCGAACCTATTGTTTTCGAGAAAAGAATTAAATCCTGTTACTATCACTAACAGATCTGCTATTACTACACATTTAACATTCATTTTATATAAATGGTAACTAAAGTATTTATTGATAAAATTCAAAATGAGTCGCAGATCTGACAAAGCACCCCAATTCTATGTGGTCTGATGGATACGATGCATTAAAGAAGGTTACATTTTCCAGTATTGTGCTTTGAAAGTCTATTGCAGCAGGATGGGGTTTATTGCTTGCTAACTTTACATTTTACTAATATTGTTTCAGAATGGCACAAAAGCGCCATACTTTGGACAATTTTCTGGCTGACACCGAAAGTACTTTTTATGAATCTGGGTGGGAGTGATGACTTTTATGTTCCCCTGCAAAATTATGATCGTAGACCTAATAAGTTTGAAGTATCATCAGACAGTTCTGAAAATGAATCTTGCTGACATAACAAGTCTACTATTGATCATATGTCTGATTATATTGCTAATTGTTTCAAATTCATTAATTTGAAACTTAATTATTTAACTATTGTTTTTTTTAAACATTTCCCAAACATCGATTTTTGATGTTAAGTGTATAATATACCTTGTATAATAAAAATAGTTTTATTTATTTTATAAAATCTCAAAAACTATTCAAAAATGTATGCAGCAACATTGATATATCATCAATTTCAGGATGGATGGGACATATTGTCCCATCTTGAAAACTGCTGTTTTCAGATATAAAAACAATTATACAGCGTGTCGTTACCATCACAAGTTGTATAGGGGAGAACTTTTTAAAGTTGTATTAAGCATTTAAATTCTTTACAAATTTTCCAAAACAAAGAATTTTCTATTTTACTTAATTAGTTTGTTTGAAAAATATTTTTTTTTAATTATGGATTTTGTTTAACGTTAATATTTTTTTTATGATTATTGGCACGTAGCGTTAGACGTGTGTTCATTTATTGTCGCGATGGTACTTACTGGTTTATTGACACGCTGTATACTTATAACTTCTTTCGATTCTTTGGCATCAAGCTTATTAAATTTAGGTAGATTCTATAAAAAAACTGCAGTCCTGGCACAAAACCTTTTTGCCAGACCAAAAGGGTTAATGTTGTTTATAAATATAGTGTTATCTAAGATTCTTTATGTTTAGTTTAGTTGTATTTTTATTACAAGTGGTGAAAAAATTACCATGTATCAGGCACAATGTATCTTGATCAAGTTTGAATCAGTTAATTCTTAAAACAAATAAATACTAGTAACTCAGACTAAATTTGCTCATATTTACAAGAACACAATATAGTATTCATTTTATATAACTATTAACATGTAGTCAGAAAATAATATTGTCAGATCACAGAAAACCAAAATAAATCATGATGAAACTATAAGATTATTTGATTGAAATGTGAAATATTGTCATAATTTCAAGTTCTTTTAATAATATCCCATAAAGATGTAATAAAATAAAATTGAAAAAAACAAGAAAGTTTGATTTTATTATAGATTTTTACAAATATTCAATATATTTTAAAAATGCCATGTTTCAACAGATATAAATACCTACTCTACCAGTGATCAGAATAAAGCTTGATAAGTTTCTGTTAGAAGATGTATATATATATATATATATATATTTAAAAATCATTACAGTTCAGTATATTTTTAAGAATACTGAACTCAAAAAAAATATGAATCAAGATTTTATATTCGGCTAGATTGATTGATTAATTCTGAAGAAACTAAGAAGCATGTTTATGAAGAGCAGTTTAAAATTATTGCTTTCATCATTAAAATATGTGCATGCATGTATAAAACGTAGGTAAGAGAGAAACTAGTCTTCTTCTGCTTCTTTTCTTTTTTGGCGATTTTCTATGAAGAGCAACTGGTCTAAAAAGAAAATTCTGAATGATTGCTATTAAACGTCAGATGTTTAAGAAATATAATATAACCCTTTTCGGTTTACTTGTACGTGATGCATTAAAATTATTGGTTAACAAAATGTAACTCTCATTGCTTTGTTATTCATTCGGTTTATATGCGAAGTACTTAAGATACCTGTACGAGATAATTCGAAAAATTGACATACAAAAATTGCCACCTAAGCAAACACTCGAAACAACGTATTGAGACACACGATATTTATACCGGTTATGGAATAATTATATACAATTTATAGGAGTGGTAAGATTACGGTAGTTTTTAAACATTACCTTAAAAATGACACGAACAATCATCACAAAAATAACACATTTAGCTTCTACCCACATCAAATCATGATCCGTCAGCAGTCGTACACATAGACAATTAGACAGTTGTTTTATTCCTTTTTTTTAATACTAATCTACTAAGAGTACTTGATCGTACAGCCAAACTACTACAAGGTCCATGTAGCAAAATTTTTATTTTATTGTTCTACACGGTATCTGTAAACAACAAAATTGCACACTAACAGGTTTTAAGAATTAAGGTGGGACGTGTACACTGCATGAAATTGATTTGACAGTTGCTCTTTGTATTTAATGTAGTCAACAAATGATTACAGTATTGTCTAAAAGTTCAGACTTTCATCGTATTAATTAATTTCAGGAACGAAATCGAATCGATCAGTAACGAAATGTTCATAAATGTTCTATACCTGTTTCGCCGAATAAATAACATCATTCGCCACAAGTACATTTTGATTTTTTTCTTTATTGCTCATTCGAAGAGATTTATTACTAAGTAGGTAGGAATGACTTTTTTTACTTATTTTTGTTCGTTACGCTGAAGAAGTATTGCTTCTTACGTACGTACATAAATTCTCAAACACGTTTTTTTTCATTCTATTTTAATTTTTTGTATCGACTGAAAATTAACAATTCACACATTTCTTATTTTATTTCATCTTTTTGACGCTATAGCGAGTATGTTTGTGATCTGACTGAAATATGTATGATAAGAACTATGTATGATATATATATTTCAGTGATTCAGTGTATATGTCTTATCCATGCGCATGACTTGACTGACTCAGTCTGACTCTTCTACGAAAGACTAGGCGGTAAGGTCGAGACTATAGCCTGCATCATGGGCGAAAGAAATATAAAATAAAATTGACTGACTCTTGCTTGTTGACGTCATGACGTCAAAGAGAATATAACTACTACGTTTGACGTTGTGTCTATCATAAGTGATTATGTATGTGATTAGCAAATTGCAACTTTATTGTATATGCAACAGTACTTAGTATTATGTCCGCGTTTTCGCCCTTTTTTTAAAATTATTGATTGCTTTTTTTAAAAATTAAACTCCTAAAATAGGGGCTAGTCTTAAACAAAGGTCTGTACATAAATGTTGCTGTAAACTAAAATTGATTTATCAATAATTGATCATAAAACTAAATACTAAAAATGGTACTTACAGTCTTATTAACATTTTCTGTGATTTTTGTAAGCGTTTCGGTAAGTTAAGAGTTACGATTTTATTCATTAGAATGTCGTTTCTATATCTGCTTGTTTTCAAAATAAATTTTAACAACGTAGCTTATACCTAGTATCCTTGTAAAATGAAATTTAGCTGACTTCCACGAAATTAAATCTGTAACATCAGTTTGAATGAAAGATATGGTATAGAACAGTTGTAAGATTCAATTGCATTTCACTTATTGGAATTGATTGTTAACAGGTTCAGAATATTTTTCAATGTTTCAGTTAATTTTATAGTGTTAATTACTCTTATATACTTAAGGATCCTTGTCACATAACCTATCAAAATTTTAATTTAAGTTTTACAGACTAGCTAGTTAGATTCAATCTAAGAATCCTACATAAATTTGGGTTTTCGCTCTATAAATTCTCTTGAAATAGTGTGTTCATATCAGTTAGCACTTAATTTGTAGTACTTTTATTTGAGTGAAATCATAAAATTTAATCACATCAGAGTCCGCTGTGATCAAATGTGCTCATATTATGTAGTTATGTTGTTTTAAAATGTATTATGCTGTATTTTAAAAATTATGAAATTGGAGAAGCATTCAAAAAGTTGGGAAATGTTATTTATGCTTATAATATAATTTATTTCAGTTATCAATAGTACTAAATTGGCATATGTTTTAAATTTTCAGGCACAAGCTTATGAAGACAAGCGATGTCGTTGTGTGTGTCCAAGCCCAGCAACTGTATTTAATGGCACCTTAAGTAAAGATAGAAAATTTTTTACTGATTATGTCCCACCAAATAAATGGTATATATTAACAATATTTGTTATAAAATATATAAGCAACAGCCTATATATATATCCCACTGCTGGGCAAAGGCCTCTGTACACAGTGTATTAGGGTATAGTCCACCATGCGAGCCACTGCTGATTGGCTGACTTCGCATATCCTTGATTTTTTTTCCTTATTTCGGAAATATGCAGGATTTCTCAAAATGTTTTCTTCCACCCCTGAGCAGCCAGTACCAATAAAATTGTTTAAAATGAACAATTTCATTAGTGTCCCACAGGAAATCTGGTATATTGAATTAAAAGTGAGCGCCCAGACAATGAGCTATCACTGCTGATTGTTGTGTTGCAGATGCTATCAATTCAATTTGATTTACATTAACACTTTTATTACAGTAACTGTTATGGTGTTATACTACCAAAAATGAGTGAAGAAGTGAATGCTCGTGCTCAAGAGTTCTGCCCACGCTGTGAATGCAAATATGAGATTAGAAATACCACTGTTATCATGGTAAGGTAATACAACTCAAGTTTTTTTTCAAATGTTATTGTCTTAGTATAACTAACATATTGGTATTTTCAACAATTATTATTTTCAATGTCCATGTTTAGGTGGTTGTTATAATGGTGGTGTGGGTGCTAACATTACTGGCTGGTTATTTGATATTCTTGATGTGCTTAGATCCATTAATTAATAAGCAACATGTAAAGAGGTACATGGAGAATGACACAGAGGAGGTATGTATTAGTAGTTTTGATTATATATAATATCTATATAATACGATGAAACTGAAAGAATGTTACTACTCTCCTTTGGACATCTGATCTTGTATATCCAAAGCTAGTATCTAATCTCTGCAATATATTTAATCTATGCAGTATATATAAAATCTCTGTACTCAAAACCGTGCAGCTTTAGCCATTCTTTTGTATACAGACTCGAAAAATGATATTGTTTGATTTTAGACTACTAGTGTGTCATTTGGCCAGAACACAATTTCAAAAATATCAACAATTTTCTGAAGAATATTATTGCTTGTATGCTTTAAATTTTGACTTCCTTATGTTGCCATCACAATTCTTAAAATTTTAAGTAGACAGGTTAAGTATCTTTTGGAGAATTTCCCTGTAACTAAATAGATAGTTCAAACATAAATAATTTGTTAAATTTGGGTAGAATTTGTTGATATTTTTGGTAATAGAATCAGGTCAAACTTGACATGAAAATCAACTGAAATAAATTTGTGTTCATGCCAGTCATACCTAAATTTATTTTAGATTATTTTTTTTTAAATTTCACCCTTACTGTGGGATAACATTATCCTGTGTTGTAAGGATGTTTTACAAATATAAACTTCATGTGGATAAACAGCCAGATGCGAAACAACTGTCTGTGGGTCACACAAATAGTTGTCCCGTGCGGGAACCCACGACCCACTGCGCCAAAGCCAATACCTTGGTAACTGCGCCACGGAATCATCGAAATAATACACATTTAAAAATTATCACACCGTTAATAGCAAAAATACGATAATTACATTTGGGATAAATCAAACAAAAATGTTTACTTATTTCTAGGCCAGAGATTTGCTGTTGGTGCATGAAGATACAGATGAATGAATACATTCAATTTCCATCTTTCCATGGTCTTTGGATCTATACTGATACTGTGATATACTTGGCATGCCTACTTATTCTCATATGGCTTAAATTTATGAGATAGAAATTATTGAATAATGAAAATTAAAGATATTGGATTGCTTGACATATAGGACAATATTTATTTGTTTAATAAATCTTTAGGAAAAATACAATTCTTTTTATTATTATTTACAATCATGAGCTATGTTGTCTTTTTTGGGTATAAAGGTCCTCTAAATAACAATGTATGTACTCAGATGTATGTAAATTAGACGAACAGACTAAACTTAGACATTTAAGTTTGGTATAATCTTATATAACATTGCTTTTATTATGTAAGAATCCCATTTATACAAATAATCTCAAATTAAAACATCTGTTAGTACAAATAAGATATCCTAACTTATTGTTATACTAAACTTTAATAATTTTTTATATGCATATATTATTATCATGACTGAATAATACCTTAATTTTTTGTATCCTGTGCACAAATGGATTGTCAGGTTTTAACATTCAGTCCCTTTCTGCGGTACTCCAAATTCACTTGTTATAGGGTTATGCACCCAAAGGGTAAAACGGGACCTTTTTACTAAGACTCTGCTGTATGTCTGTCTGTCACCAGGGTGTATATCTCATGAATTGTGATAGTTACAGTTGAAAATTTCACAGATGCCTATTGCACAGATTTCTATTGCCGTTATAATGACAAATTTTAAAAAAACAACAAAAAAGTTTTTGTATGATTTTTTAACCTTTTTTATAGGTAATGGTATGAAACCCTTCTTTTGTTCTCTTTTTTTTGTGATACAATAATACAAACTTATTTAGGTAAAAAATCAGCAGCAGCAAGTGCAGAGCAAGTCATTATCAAACATCCTTGTCCTCAATGTATTCTTGGACATTATAATAGGCCCTTACCATTAGTGTAGCTTTTACAAAATGTTTGAAATTGTTTGTGGATGTCACCTATTTATTATAAAAGTTAATGCATCTACCAAGAAACAACTTTCTGGTTTTACCAGTCTAAACCTCAGTACTTCTTGAGTGTCAACACAGCCCTGATGCCATTTGGAATGTTTCTTTTGTAAATAGATGGAAAAAAAAGTAAAGTAAAGTAACAGCCTATACATGTCCCACTGCTGGGCAAAGGCCTCCTCTATACAGAGGGTATCAGGGCATAGTCCACCACGCGGCCCCACTGCGGATTGGCGGACTTCACATATCTTCGAAATATATATATTTTTTTGTTATTACTTCGAAAATATGCAGGTTTCCTCACGATGTTTTCCTTCACCGCGGAGCACGTGATAAGTCAGCACTTAAAGTTAAAAACTTCATTGGTGCCGGCACCGGGGATCGAACTCAGGTTGCTCGAGTATATTGAATTAAAGGCGAGCGCCCGGACACTGAGCTATCACGGCAGCAAATAGATGGATATTATTACATTCTATTTGATGGCTTCGTTTCTAAGGTCTAGACCAAGGCATCAATGACATATTTATGGCTCTGGAATGAACGAATCTGGATTTGTTTGTGTAATTTAATTTGCAATTTTAATTTTTAAATTTGGGGTCAAATTAAACAGCAATTATAATATAATTAGTTATTATTAACAACACTGTATACAGATGTTTCCAAGCAATAAAATAGTTACTGTATATTACATTGAAAACACTGATTTTAAAAATTATTTTATGATTTAACCGGCTTTGGTTATTGATTTCAATAATTGCTTACATTTTTAATAGCTAATTATTTGCTGTCAATGCTGCCTTAATACATTTTGGTGATATTCATACTGATATAGTTATAATTAAAATTTGTGGTGTTTGTTCTATTATCTATACATTCAATGGTTTTCCAACATCTTTCTTTCCACCTGAGTTTAATTTAAAAAGAAATCAAGTCATTAACATCGGGTAGATGGACAAAGGATGTGTGTAATGTAAAAACGACAGTTCAATACTTTCTTTTGCCGTTAGAAATAATATTTTATATAACAAGTAAATCTATTTATAGCGGTCAGCTGTTAATTTAACAGAATTCCTCCAACAGCTTAAGAAATCAAAGAGGAATACTTATGAAAATGTAAAATGTACACTAATCATAATATGGTAGCATTCAACAATTTTTTTCATACATGCATAAGTATTACACTTTATTAATTGGCTAGTGCTAATAATTGACTGCAATCCCATAACAACTTGATCCACAATCAAATATTGACTTGATAATGTAAATTTTATATCCACAATGCATATATCCGATAAACTACATATTACAATAGTCACTTAATATTGTAATTATACTACCATTAATATTAATAAATACATTATACAAAAAACATTATTATTTATATTCACAAGACCATGCCTTCATATAACATTGGTATTTGCTAATAATATTAACATAAGATGATGATAGAAACTATTTTAAATTAGCAATGACTATGAAATTGCTCTTAATGTGAATTGCTTGTAAGTTGAGTTATGATTACACTATACAGATATAACCTCACATCTAAAAACAGCTCTATTAAAAACTGTTGTATCTAATCATACAATATTGTGTTCATAACTTTAGAATCAAAGGATGTTATACAATAGCACATTATGCATTAGCAATGTAATTCTAAACTCTAATGAAATATTAAAAGCAATCAGAATATGCCACCTGTACAATTTTAGTGGCAAACAGACCTGTTTTCATTACATCACATTGTATGCATGTGCATAATCATTAATAGCTGCCAACACTACCAAGTATTACTGAGAATTTTTTTTTCACCAACTTATCAACTAGTGATAATGTCAAATGTCAACACAATATCAAAAGCATTGAAGAATCACTGCATTGTGAAAACTTGTGGCTCATTATAGTTTTTAGGCCACATAATTGGGGGCTAGTTAAGCATGGTGTGTCTATCATAAATATTGCGCCTCTGCTCACGGACCTGCCTCTTCCATTTGTCCTGCTGATGAGTAACACGATTAAGAACATTGCCCCTTGGCCCCATTTGCTGAGACGGTCCACTTAAAGTGCTCTCATCCTGTAATAACATGAATTTTATGAGCATGTACAATATTAAAAAAATTAAAGTGCCACATGCATTTAGAGTATTGCTTACATCCTCATTGGTGTGCTCTTGATAAGAAGCTTTAGCTCTTTTATTGATGAGGGGATCGAGGCAAATCAAAAAGCCCATATAGACCACCAGCAACATTATCACCCATATAACAATGATGACAACCACCTGTAAAAAAATTGTTAATAAGACTACATAATACAAATTTAGAAATATGTGAGTATTGTTAATTTTTTTTTGTCTTACATTTATTGTAATTAACTCTTATAGATATATTAGTTTCATTATTTTACAAAGGCTGAAGGTTTCAATTAAAGTGCTTGTCCTTTGCTGTACTGAATATTAATATATTATATAGTTACTAGCTGCTGCCCGCGACTACGTCTGCGTAGAGGGGTGAAAATTTAGGGTTGTATGTATTTTTGTACGCTGTATCAAAAAAAAAAAAAAAAAAAAAAAATTTTGTCCAAAAATGAAAAAAAAAAAAATTTAATTGTGGACAACCCTTATCCCTTAGGGGTATGAAAAATAGATAGTAGCCGATTCTCTAACTACTGAATATGCATATAAAATTTGGTAAAAATCAGGAAAGCCGTTTCGGAGGAGTTCAAGTTCGAACCCCGTGACATGAGAATTTTATATATTAGAGATATATAATATAGTATCATATTTTTTCATCAGAAAAAACAAAAATACATAATATCATTATCAAAATTGTACCTTGATTATGGTGGTATTTCTACTTTCATACTTGCATTCACAGCGTGGACAAAATTCCTGTTCACGGCCCTTGATTATTTCTCCCACTCTAGGCAGGATGACTCCATCACAATCACTAAAAGTTTTCATTATTAGTTCAATTTAATGTATGTGGAAATGAAAAATTATATGAGTACTTGGTAAGTCTAGAAAAGCATCACATCTTTTTTTTCACTACCAAATATTTTTAAATAATAGAAATAACCACTCAAGACTACTTTTATTTTTTAAAAACAATGAAAATAACATAAGATATAATATGCAAATATTTTTACTTTCTTGAAGAATACGCTGATACAAAGGGTCAAAATTCTTTGATTGAGTAGTAGTAAGTTGTCAGTACAATAGTTAACTCGCTTATCTGATTTGCAGCATACTTTTTTATATTAAAACCCACCTCCTCCACAATTTGACATTTGCAGATTGGTCAGTTTACTTCTGATCTGATGGTATGATTAGTGATTCACTTAGAAATTCTAATTTTAGTTACAATTCTTTATAATTCAAAATATTTGTCATTGAAAAAGGATATGTCGCTATTCTAGACTATTACCAAAAATTTTCTGCGTACCATTTATTGGGTGGGACATTTCCAATATAAAGTTTTCGGTCGGAGCCTACTGTATTGTTAAGAACTGCAGCTGGACTGGGGCATACACACATACATCTCTTATCTTCATATGACTGTGCCTGGAAACAACTTGTTATTTGTATGAGCGTAACAAAAAGATTTTGATTGGATGAACGGTATGCTATTTATAGCAGCTTCAATGAAATAGTACAATAAAAAAATTTTAATACCGTGATCATTTGAACGTATTTCGTTTTCAATTCTTTTTCATTTAAATGAAGTGATTCTGTCCAAAACGGAGCATCAACTAATTAAAACCAAAGAAATTTATAAAGCTTTTAAAAATTGTTGTTTCTTAATAATTATTTACTTACGGATGCTGAAAACAAACACGCCACGAAGAACGTAAACATTACGAATTTAATATGCATGATAAGAATACAAATCAAAGTACGATCTTAAACGATAGTTGTAATTCGTGCCTGAATCTGAATACGTAGTTGCCTGTAGGTAATTATATTATTGAAACAATTTACTCCATTTTAGTCACGTCATAGACTACTAGATTAGGCATGGGCAAAAAATAGTGATATATATACAAATATCGATATTTTTCCAAAAATTATCGACAAATATCGTCAAATTTTTTTCGCAATATAACGATATTTGATATTTATTTCGTCTCAAATTCGATAATTTAATAATTCGATAATCTAATTTTAATGCAATTCTGGTTTCGCGTTTAATGTTACTAGATACTCTTTGTATTCCCGTCACGTATTCCCATCGTTTACTTTAAAAACTGTTTTCAGCTATTGTCTTCGTGTCTCTTCTATTTTACGTATTTTGAATGGTTTGAAAATATGCATGTATGATCATGCGAAAAATGACGATATATCGATATTTTTCGCTCGATAATAATCGATACTTTTTAAAATGACAATACGATTGATATATGTTTATCTTGCCCATCCTTATGTACTATATTCCATCACGAGTGCTGCCAGCCTGCCCATACATTATAAAGTAAAAATAAATATTATTTTACACAGTAAATTTATTTCTATATGCAGTATTATTAGAAATAGAATATTATAACAGCACATACAGCACCTTTTAAATTTTATTTTTCAATACAGGTGAAGAATGACGATTATTAAAATTAGTGTGAAGGAATTTATGAAAACAGTATATTTTTTGTATTTCCATGTTTAAATAAAATTGAAGAAATATCATTTGATATTTAAGAAAAAAGAAAAAAGGCGTCGCTGATTAAAGTCTGAATTTTTGATTTTATTCCCGTCTCGTTAATCTAGATGTGAAGAGAATTTAGAAGATCTTTGACCTCCAGGAAAAGGAAGATTCAAGATTCCTATTCCGGCATGTTAAAGTGGTTAAAATTAATGTACTCAAAGCGAACGTCCCTACATTTAACGTTTGTGAAAGCTCCATCTTAATTTTAAATCCGAAATCTTGAGTTAGATTAGTATGTACAAAAACATAACAGATGCCACTACTGAAACTATAATTGTAACATGGTAACCTGAAGCTTCTAAATAATACAATCGTTAGTAAAACAACATACTTATGTACTATTTTATATGACTATTAAAAACACTTAGGCGAATTCCAAAATTTTTGCACATACAGGAAACATACAAACACATCAAAACATTATTATCATAAATTTAAATAACTTATTTGTTATTATCTTTTAATTTTTTTGCGGTAATAGTACAGGGTTCGGGCGCTTGTTTTAAAATGAATATGCTCCAGCAAATGTGTTGAAATCCCAGTACCAATGAAAATATTAATTGTAGTAACTGTGATAGGACCACGCAACAGTGAACAGTGTTTATTGTTGCACGAATGGGCAGGTCCGTCCAGGTAAGTACCACGACCTCACAGAAGACTGGCGTAAATTATAAGTGTTACACTCTTTCGTTTGTGGTGAGATAGCCCGGGCCCACTTTATTTATAGGTGGCAACGCATTTGCAACCCTACGGTTGTTGCAAGTGCAGATAGGAGGCGGTTATCCCTTAACATCAGGTGAACCGCCAGGTCGTTTGCCACTTTCTAACATAAAAAAGTGCTGACTTGCCACGTTCTCGGCGGTGAGGGAAAACCTACTGAGGAAACCTGTATATTTTTGAAATAATAATAGAAAATATTTTTAAGACATGTGAAGACCGCCCGCGGTGGAATATGCCCTAACACCTTCGGTACCATGGAGACCTTCACTTTTGAGTTTTGAATGATTGTCTCAAATACTTGCCAGTATTTCAAGTCAAAGTCAAAATTTCTTTATATATAGGCATAGGCTTATTTTAAGCTTTTATTAAATGTCAAAAACAACCACCCATTCACTTAACTAGACCTGCCAGGGAAGAACCAGCAAGAAACTCTGGGTTTTATAATTTTTTCTTTGAATTATTTAAGTCTATATAATATATATTAGGCGTCTTGCAAGTGCATAGCAAGAGTCATTTCCGCACATTCTTGTCCTCGATGTATTCCTCGACATTATATAGGCCTATTCCATTAAGGAAGCTTTTACAAAATGTTTGGAATTATTTACACTTAATTGTTTGTGGATATCACCAATTCTATATTATATAAGTTAATACATCTACCAAGAAACGACTTCCTGGTTTTAGCCTGGCTAAACCTCGGTATTTCTGTGATGTAGTGTTTTTTGTAAAAGTAGTAGGTATTTTATTTCGCACATACATAATGTTCTCAAGTATGTTTAGCGACTGGGGGGGTTAAGATGTTTATTTGAAAATTTAAAATTGAAAACTTAAAAATATGCCGTAGGCACTCACGTGAACCCAAGCCATAGACAGCCCGTATCGCTTGCTTTTGCAATACAAATATCGTGTCTAAACGTGATGCGGAACCCCAAAGTAAGACACTATAAGACAGAATACTGTGAAAAGAAGCATCTTGTGTATGGCAATATATCTAAATGAGCTCCCCATTGCAACTTGAATGCTGTTCTCATCAATAAAGATTTCTGGTTTATAAGACAGCTTATATAAAGTTAATCTGATACATTTATTCTTAGTGGCATTCAAAATTAAATTATTGGTCGCAAACCAGCCCTACACGACACATAGTATTTCATTCGGTTGCTCTAATGTACATCTTTCGTATTATCCGCAAACAAAACGATTTAAGACCTTTTTTTACCACATATCGCAAATAATTAATCAGAAATGGTCCCAGGATTGATCCCTGAGGGACACCCGTGTACCATCGACCACGATGACAATATTGTTATCGTGGTTAATGGTATATACCATTTATAGTCACTTTGTGATCCCTATCGCTAAGATGAGGAAACAAAGTCAACGGCAGATTTTCGAATACCATAATTTTAACTAACTAACTAATGGGCGCCAACGTGCCCTATCTTGTGCGATCTCTTCCCAGTTTTCTGCGTTCAGGGCGCGCAGGTCCTTTACCACTTCATCCTTCCAGCGGCATATGGGCCACCCAACCGGCCATCGGCCTCCAGGACGTCCATCATAGGCTCTCTTCACCGTCCTGTCTGCCGGAATTCGTTCTAAGTGCCCAAGCCAGCGGAATCTCTTGTAATCTCTTATAATTTTGCGCTCAGGCACCATATCTTCTATCTCCTGGTTCTTTCGTATCCTCCAGGTGCCGTCTTGTCTCGGTACGGGCCCCAAAATCTTACGAAATATTTTCCGTTCGGAGATAAGAAGTTTATTCTCTACCTTTATTGTTAGTGTCCAAGTTTCGCAGCCATACATTAAGATGGGCCTTAGGATCGTCTTACCTATGCGGATCTTAGTTTTCCGGTGCATTACTTTAGACACTAGCATTAACTACTCCAGCAACAGTTGTAGACCTACCATTTATAAATCCGAATTGATGCTGATTCGAAATTTCATATTTATTAAAATAAACTATCATCAGATCCAGCATTATTTTCTCAAATACTTAAGGTTGGTAAGATAGAAATGGGACGGTAATTAGAGGCATTTTCTCTTGAGCCTGATTTATAAACTGGCACAACTTTGCTATATTTCATTAATTTTGGAAATTTGCAATAATTTGAACATGTAATAAATATCGGGGCTATTAAGCAAGCAATTTAATGTATAATACAAAATTTCTAATGGTGATCTGGCCTCTAATGCGATCCATTTTTTGGCTTAATCAGTTTACGTTTAGTTATGTGCTGATTAATGGGACGCTTTCATTCCAGACATTGACTTCTCCCATTGAAAAGTTTTATCTTTCCAAACAAACTTTTGGGGTGACACGTAATCACGTCAGGTTAACCATTTTGTAGAAGTCTTCTAAAACATGGGCAATTTCAACTTGGCCTTATGATCAAATTTAAATTTTCCATGGCAGAGACCACAATAATGATTGTTGAAAGTATAAATAAAAAATAGGTCCACATTACATCGTGCACATATTGATTGGTGATATTATGGTTATTGTGAAAATATTTTTTAGGTACAATATTAACAAATACAATTACATTACTCATTATTTAGCCCATGCCGATGCGGTTTGGTACCAAGGCCCTTTGCTGCATTTTCTCGCTGAATAAGTTATATTAATAAAATTAGTGTAAAAATAATTATAAAACTCTCTATGTCATTTACCATTACTGTATGAATTATATCCTCCAGAACAGAGGAAACATTTGCTCTGTTTCCTAATCATGTTTTTAAGTGTGCAGTAGAGAAAGTTAAAAAACCTTTTCTGAATGATCTTACCAGCATCATTTGTTACCTTTACTCAGAAAAAAGATGATTATGAAAAATTGTTCGAATTAATATCATTATAATAAGAGAGGTACGTTTCTTCTGTTTCGATAATTCAGAAACAGAGAAAAGATGAATTAAAAGTTGAAGACATGAAATCGAAATTGATTAGAGGTCATTGTACGCGAACGTAAGTAAGTATACAAATGATTAAACTCAAATCCTAGACGAGGTCTTGAAAGTGCTCAAACGCTCTACCCAAGCCGAAATATATCATATTAGGTTAAATTCTTTATTACTCATAAAACATTAATCCGTGAATTATAAAATGCAATTTATGTATACATAATTAAGTTTATAAAATATACTGTAAAGTTTAAAGGGTAAATTTTAGATAATAAAGAATATTAAGTTACAGTTTATATGATGGAAATTGGAAAAAGATTTAACCGTAAATTGTCAAAAAATATCACTTCACTTTGTTTTGTTTAGTAATAAAACTTTCTTATAAGCCTGTTTACAGGTTCTGCTTATTTACTATTTATGTATTGTAAACACTATACAAAGGAAGTGGCCACACAGGAGGTAGACCGCTGCTATTCAAACTTGGGGTCGTGCTCGGAAATATGACAATGCTTCAGTATTCGCCAATGTGAGCGCACCTTTA